TCATATGAAACTAAAGAGATTAATTCAATTGTATCTTTACTAGACGTTGGCAAAACTTATTAACTGTTAATCGACAGCCAAGAAAAATTATAGGCTATTCAAGAATCAAAAATTGAATACACTTAACTGGATTATTATGTAATAAACTATACCTAATTCCAGTTCTTCATGTCAATCGTGTCAATTATTAGGAACAATATCGCCAATACAAGGCAATTAATTAAATCGAATAATTATAATTAAGATAATCTACTGTAAGTTATTCGCGGGATATTTGCGTCAGAGGTTCTGCTTTGGTTAACTGCTCGACAGATCGTGTGACGTAACGGCGGTATGTCTTTGGAAGAAGAAGAAGATCGGTACGAGATGGCCGCGAGTTAGCGGTCTCATCGAAAACCAGCCTGGTTTATTGTTTTTGGACGAAAAAAGAGTCTTCTTCGTATCCGCAGATGACTCCGATCGCTAACATAAGATGGCTACGTAAGATAGGTCAAGGAGGAGAAAAAGTTTATTTTGCCTGCTTTCGAAATCCCGTAAACACTCGGAGGGAAAAACCTTTCCAGGGGAAGGGAGGGAAAGGTTTAGGAGAGATAGGTATACAATGCGTATACAACGTAACTCTAACGACGATATCAAAGCGGTCAAATTTTCATGATTATGCGATATATCCCGTTGGTACTTTAAATCGGGATAGTTGCTTGCGGCTACAGAAAATATGCAAATCGCATTGTGTACGCCCTCATCGAATCGACGCTAATCCCGATTATGGGCGAACCTTACTTCGTCAAGGCGTAGCTTTATTAAACTTAACGTCGCTTAAGTAAATCCGGTTACATTCCAAAGTTAAGAAAAAAGATCAATGGGGGAAGATTCTCGATAATTCTATCTCCGAGTACATAGGTACCAACCTAATCGAAATTATTTGGGATTAAGCCTTAACGTGGGATTTGTTGATTTTCAGAAATTTCCTTTATTTTGTCCCCTTCTGGTTTTTTTTTCTTTTTTTTTTTTTAATCCCTCTGATCTATACTTGAATATAGCTATTGTGAGCGTCGAGAATGAATTTTTCAGTATAAATAGATTAATTATCTACAATATTTTTTTACCTATCTATCTATGTACTCATTTATGCGCGAGTGATTATTGACGTCACGTTTTACTTAACATTTGTAATTATTATTTTTCTTTCTTAACGAAGTCATTCGAACAGAGAAGAAAAAGAAAAAGAAAGAAGAAAGGCAAAAGGTACGTAAGAAAGTAAGAGGCATTATATTTCGTTGTCTTACGAATGATGGCTTCGGGGAGACAACGATCTGGGATAGAATGCAAGCAAAAGACAATTAAAGTTTCATTGGAACGTCTTCGAAAGCATTTTGCAGGCAAGCAACTTCTATTGGCCGGCGGCTACGAAATAGGGTAGAAACGGAGAAGAAAGATTCAAAGGGCAGAATCTTGAAGACCTATTATCCTTTCTTTGCCACAAAGTATCTTGGGGAAGCAAACAATGATTTCGATATAAAAAGTTCTTTTCATTATTATTTTTTCACTCCAATTTACCATTTCTTAATCCTACGACATTAATTATTTTTATTTTAATCACGACCTCGTTCATTTTTTCTTCGGATGTTTGATAAATTTCATCTTTTTTTTCTACTTTTTATTTTTATCATTTAATGTCTCATCAAACGTTTGCTTGTATGTAGATTATTAATGATATAAGAGGCAAAGTTTACAGTTATATTATACAATTTGACGTAGTATAAATAATATAAGTAACCTTTGTATATATCCTACGTCCTTTAAATCTTAAATTAATTTTTTTCTTCTTTGCGTATACACTTATTCAGCACGTAGTATCTAGTAAACATGTTTATCTTCTCATTTTATACATCCCATTTTCTTTATCTCAATAATAATGTCATACTCTAATGTTCCTTTGTTTAAGAGAATCGATAGTTTGCGAAATACTATAGTGACGTACACACATATACGTACATCATATATACGTAGGTATCTCTACCATTTTAGAGAGGAGAGGATAGAAATGGAAAAGTGGAACGAAGGGACGATCGAACTCGTTCCAGGAACCCGGATAGTGCTTCGTAGGATTCGCGAAGGAGCAGGAGACTCTTCAAGACGGAGACGAGGTGTCCCATCGAGTGTTTTCGCAAGGCAGGAGTCGAACCCTTAGAAAAACAGACGCCAAATTGAATCTCTCGTCTCGTTCGGTCCCTCTTCTTCCAATAACTCCGCTACTCTCCTACTCTGCTTTCCCGAGGGAGCTTTCTCGAGTTCCTTCGTCTACGGATTACCTACCTATCTATACTACTCGCGGCGAGAAAACGGTTCTCTTCCGGTTCACCTTTTATCATCACCTTCAATTTTTTCCGATTCTGTTATAAAAATTGAAATTCCTAATAACTAATATGTTCGAGAAAGAATATTACGATATTTTATTTCTAAAATAACATCCTAACTATCGATACCTATCGATAAATAATTTTATTTATAGCGATACGATTGATATGTTGGAACGATCACACTCAATACGCGGCCTAAAATATTCATATTCTTTGGAAATTAGTGCCTGAAAAATAGAAGATCGTAAAAAATGTGCCCACCTGGTGTTCACATTGTTCGTATCTTTCTGAATAATTCTATTTTAAAATGAAATATGCGAAGAACATAAATAGGTATATAAAAAATCGGCTTATCTTGATGATATATTAAGAATAGCATGTTGCAATTATACATCTGATTTGTCTAAAATAGTTCATCTCAATGCGAAAAGTCACATTAATTTTTAACTGAACGTTTGGGTACATTTAGCTTTTGAGTATTGTCTTTTACATTATTACATATATTATGATGATATAATGTACTTTGTTGCAAACATATGTAAATATGTGGTCTGAGAAATAAGAAAGTTGAATATAGTTGTGCTAGATCAAATCTTATTATATATATACATATATATATATATATATATATATATATATATATAATATATATATATCTTCATATTTAGCTATTTGATGTTAAATAATATATAAACTGGTATCTAAGTACTTACACGTTACATACCTATAGAATCTATTGTATCCTACGTATTCTTATGTTTGATTATTTCATTTTAATTGTTGTACTTAAGAATCACTGTTAACTCTTTATTCTTACTAGATATTGAAACTCCGTTTATCTAAATAAGTTCAGTATCTAAATAAGACAGTTTCTTTTCTTCTCTTTTATTTCGATACCAATTACTTCATTGCTCGTTTATATTTTACGGTACTCATTAAATGTTACTAAATATAAGTTATTCATTTCTAAACGTCGATGAGCCGTAGTTCAACGATAAGGAACGATAACGCCAGCTGAGCATTAGCTCCGAGCTGTCATATAAATCAACCGATTTAATGCGTTTCCGAAACGGTTTGCCAAACAAAAGTCGGTTTACTGCTTTTGAAGATATTTATTGAAAACCAAGGTAAAAATGGTCCAGGTACATAAAGACATAAAATACTTGAAAGTAAGTAGGTAGGTAGGTATAGGGAGAAATGAATGATCGATACGCAAGGATATCTTGAAGGATAATTATGTTGAATAAGAGCAAAAAGAGAAAGATTATTTGAGCGTCTTAGGTAATTGTCAGAAGAAGAAAAAGAAGAAGATGAAGAAAAAGAGAAAGAAGAAGAAAAAGGAAAAAAAAACAAATTATAGGTACTACCTATTTCCACATGGAAGATATATCGTAGACGGCACAGTTGAACTCGTTCACGATTCTTTTTCCGTATACCTTTATAGGTATGTCGATTCACAAATAAATTTGCACGCGAGAACACACGACTACGAACATTATAACAACTTAGATAAAGTAAGTGAGTAAGTAAGTAAGTAAGTAAATAAATAAGTAAGTACTTAGGTAAATAAGTACGTCAATCTAATCGTAAACCATTCGTCCTCAGATTTAATGAACCACTGGACACGATCGATTTCGATGTACGGACACTTTGTAGACAGTACGAACTGTGTAAGAATAAACGAAAAAGATTTACGACTTGATTATTTGTTCTTCTATAGGATAGATTGTTGCACACAGGACACTCCGATATGAAATATTACGAGGACGTTTACAAGAGGTAAAGATTTATGCGAGTTAATGATTAGAAGAATTAAAAGAAGACCACAAGGAAGGAAAGGAGAAAGTTGAAAAAGGAAAAGTGGATACAGTAGGTTAGTAAAATAAAAAATGTTAAAGAAATAAAGAAATAAAAGGAAAGGAAAAGAACGAACGAAAGCTCGTATTATTAGGTAGATAGGTAAGTATACACGCGTATGTAATCCGTCGCTCGTAGATTCTTCACAAGACTCAAAAAGTATCGGACAGCCGTGAGGGGCCTATGGATAGCGACCCATCGTAAAAATTCGCGTCCTATGAGTGCCGTCAGATTCCCTTACTCTCTCTTTCTCTCTCACTCTCTTTCTCTCTTTTTCTCTCTCTGTTTCTCTCTCTTTCCCTCTTTCTCCTTTTCTCACTCTTTCTCACCCTCTCTATCTCTCTCTTTCTTTTATTCTCTCCCCTCTTTCTTTCTATCTTATTGTTCCAAAAAGGTACGGTAGCACACGAGGTACGATATGGCATTCTATCGGCTGGTACACATTATTCTCTCTCTCTCTCTCTCTCTCTCTCTCTCTCACTCTCTTTACGGTTCTTTTCACTTCGCTGCGAGAGATATGTATATAGAATAACCGTGAGTGCGTGCGACGAAATGGGCATGGCCAAGGTAAGTAAGAGAGAACTCTTCTAAGTCATCGACGTAGTGGCAGGGCGCACGAGAGAAGACAATACGTGATTGGCCGAAACGCTCGAGTATGGTCCTGCCTTGTACAACTACAGCCAATCAGAGTACGTCGCACCCCACCATTAGTCGACTCGAAGCATTACCGGAGCTCTTTAACGCGGCCGCGCTCCAAGAACGATTTTTCTACGTGACAGAGAGGGGTCCGCATCGCGCTGCCCGCGCGCATACGTCCTTGCGTTCATCGTAGAACGCTCTCGGTCTGCTCGGTTCGCTCGCGAGGCCCCAGTGTGTTTTTACTCGGGGTTGGGTAAACTCCGGCCTGTTGTGTATCATAATACGATCGGTGCGGGTGCAACGCGCGCGGCTTTACGGACGACATCGACCACTACACCGGCTTTCTCACGTCGTCCACGCAACTTTCCGCGCGTGCCTTTACTGTTACCTTCCGCTATATATCTCTCTCTCCCTTTCTCTCTCTCTCTCTCTCTCTCTCTCTTCCTCTCTCTCTTTTTGTTTCTCTCTCTCTCTCTCTTCCTCTCTCTTTCTTTCTCTCTCTTTCTCTCTTTCTCTCTCTCTCTCTTTCTCTCTCTCTCTCTCTCTCTCTCTCTCTCATGACTTGTTCAAAGAAAGGCACAGGACAGGAAATCTATGTCATCGTACGTCACAAAGATTTTACTTTGTAAATCTTAGGATTTAAAGATTTTTGAGGAAAAGAGTCTTAAATCTTTGGAGAGAGAGAGAACCTGGGTTGAGAGAAAGAGTGTTAAATATTTCCATTGACAAGGAAATATTTCCTTCGAGCAAGTTTGTCGAATAGGTGAAAACGAACGGGATATGTCTATATTGGGAGGAATGATCATAGCGACATTTCAATAAAAAAAGCGTCTCTTTAATCGAAGAAACGGAAATAAGAACGGTGTATATGTGTGCGTGAGTGTCCCGTAAAAGAAAAGGTGTTGAAGGTCAAGAGAGAGAGAAAGAGAGAGAGAGAGAGAGAGAGAGAGAGAGAGAGAGAGAGAGAGAGAGAGTGAGTTAAAGATCAGTTAATCAGAATGCACACGTTGTTCGGAGAACAAAATGCTTATTATCGTCATGCGAGCGCCGTACCTGTGGGTATGGGCACGGCATCCTATCCAGGCGTGGGCGTGGGTGTGGGCGCTGCCCCGGGCTACTACGAGCAATATCGTTACGGTGGATATGCGACGGCCGCTGGTTATCCTGTCTCCGGGATAACACAGCAACACATACACCATCCTGGTAAGGACATGGTGAAACCACCCTACTCTTATATAGCTTTAATTGCCATGGCTATTCAAAATGCACCGGACAAGAAGATCACTCTAAACGGTATCTATCAGTTTATAATGGAACGTTTCCCTTATTACCGCGAGAATAAACAAGGTTGGCAAAATTCTATTAGGCATAATCTTAGTTTGAACGAGTGTTTCGTTAAGGTGCCGCGAGATGATAAGAAACCGGGTAAGGGTAGTTACTGGTCCCTCGATCCGGATAGTTACAATATGTTCGACAACGGTTCCTATTTGAGACGTCGTAGGAGATTCAAAAAGAAGGACGCTTTGAAAGAGAAAGAGGAGGCGTTAAAGAGGCAGGGTCTATTGACGGAGAAACGAGGACAGCAGCAACAGCAACAGCAGGAGGACGTAAAGTCAAACAGCGGTGCTATTGTAAACCTTGCGCCGTCGATAGAAACGACGACGGTAAAAAAGGTCGGCGGCGGTGGTAACGGCGGTAGTGGAGGTGGTGGTGGTGGTGGTGGTGCTAGTGCCGGTGGTGTTGGTAGTGTTATCGGTGGTGTTGCGGGTGTCATGGAGGGTGGTACAGTGACGACAACGGCGAGTACAACTACGACTGGGCTATGCAAACCAAAGAGAGAGCCGGTGAACGATCACTGCATGGCCGCCGTGCAGAGCAAGTATGGTCTGTTACATAGCCCGATTCAACAAGAGACGAAGACAACGGTAACAGGCGTCGTAGTGGCAAGCGTACCATCGCACACGGCAGTTAGCGGAGGTCAGAGCGTCATTCAGACGGCTCTTGGGAATCAAGTACATCAGGGTCATCATCAGGTCCATCAGGAGACTACGATTCAGGATGTCTCAATGGTGGGCCTCGATCCTGGTGCATTTAGCGTCGACGCTCTCATGACGACCCGGGAAAATGCTCTAATGAATAATCGGGCCGATCAAAGCACCAGTCAACAACATCCGCATGCTCACGCTCACGCCCTTCAACATCCTCACGGTGCCCACTCGCACTCTCACCCGCACTCGCATTCGCACTCGCACGCCCACTCATCGGCGTGCACAACGACGACCAGCACGACCGCTGCGGTTGCCGCCATGATGGCATCCACCGGATACGCCCCTCACGGTAGCGCCGTAGCGAGAGGAAACTCATCGCCACCCGGTACCGGCATGTACGCGCCCTATTGCGCGCCTACGCCTAGCTACATCATGGATCATGCTGATTACAATCCGAGGAATCATGGAAATGCTGCTGCCGCGGCTGCAGCAGCCGCTGCTGCGGCCGCAGCCGCACATACACAGTGGTATCAAGAAGCTGCTAGTCCAGACGCTGCACCCATTTATCAGGACACTCAGTCGCCCAGCTGTCAACTTTACAGGTATATTTCAATTCTATCTGGTTACTTGGACGAACGCACCATACTTTCTTCTAC